CACATTTGCCTCATTCTCTCCAGGCCATAATAATCTGGTTTCTCTACTGATTCAGTTGCTTGTTCCCACAGGGCCTTGACCACATCTGCCTTGTCATGTATCAATTCACTACTCAGTTTTGATTTTTACTGCACGCTGCTTGCAGTCTTCTATGAATGTTCACTGATCAGCATCCTTTAAATCATGAAACTCCTTCAAATCATGAAACTCCTTCAAATCATGAAACTCCTTCAAATCATGAAACTCCTTTAAATCATGAAACTCCTTTAAATCACGAAACTGAGTCACGGCTCTGAGCTTCTTTTTGTGTGTGCTGATTCTGGATCAGCCAAACCTGGCCTTTTGCTCAACGGTCTGAAATAGAACATATGCAATATCTAAGGATAACCACGTGGCCAGTACTTATGATGCGACCATAACACAATCATGTTCAACGTTGGCAATTGAAGCTAATTAAATTCTTTTTACCACAATTACTGTTCTCAGTCGTATGCCATCAGTTTCCTATGTAGACTATAAAAGTAAAAGTAAAGATCCCTCTTCACGCCTATAGGCGTATCGGGTATATGGGAAGAGCACCCATATTTTTACAGACCATCGACACGAGGTGGGTAATGTGGTCAGTATTGCACCGGCCGTCTTTACTTTCCCAGGACAGCCATCCTGATACCCATTTTAGACTGGGTCGACCTGCGACGCCCCATACCATGACAAAAATCCACGCAGCCAGCAGTGGGTTTCGATTGCAGTACGTTGGATTACGAGTCGGACTCGCAACGCCTAAGCCACGGACGCCGCGTTCAACGCAGGCAACTGAAGCTAATTAAATTAGTTTTACCATTGGTTACTGTTTTCCGTCGTATGCCATCGATTACTTATTTAGGCTTTAAAAAGCCTTTACAAAATATTCGCGACCATATAACCTGCATTATGCCTTTCAATTATTTTGCTCTGTTATGATATGTAGTTCAGCACTTCAAATAAAACTTACGAAATGATAACGACCGGGTCCATGGCTGGACTGATTTCTTTCGTAAGCAGGTTCCCACATTTTATATATCGCTGACTACAAATGTAGGTGTGTACACCTACATACAAGGAAAGTCTATAGGAGCATGTGTTTTCCCAAATTGTAACCTTTTCTTTCATTTCCTAATTTTTTTAATTCACAAAACATACTTATCTTTTGTTACAAAAAAAAAAAAAAAAAATAACACACACACACAAATCCCCATAGGTTACAGTGCGAGTTGATGTACGAAAATAGCTTGCTCAAGTGGTCGTTTGTACATTGTAAGTTTCAAGTACGCTGACTTGACACAATCATACATTTATTGTGAAAGTTGATTCCATATAACTGACACACTCATGCAGTAACGCAGTCATTCATATTCAGATCAGTTTGAATGCTGAGAACTGCGTGAGTACAGAATACTGGGTGGCCCGAAAGTTTTTATACACAGATTAAATAAAAGTAACATCAACGTGATTACAAGAAGCATAACTGCAGCTGTGATTATTCTTGACAGCCCTGTTGAGGAACATGTACAAGCATTGCTGGAGTTGTGTTTGTATAGACTTTGGTAATACTTCATTGTTCATATGTGTGGAAACTTTTGGGACAGCCGGTAGAAATCATGTGAACATGCGTAGGTCGCAATAAATCTTTTGTTTTTCTCTGAGCTGAAGGCCTGGTATTAGGTAAGTTGAGGATCTCCGGTATGGCGAAATGTTCTTCCCGGTTTACCCCCTTCTGTATTATTATGTCATCGCGGAGGTAATAGGGCCCCATTGGGGATGGGATGGCGTAAAGAATAGACCCACTTTCCATTGACATCTATGTCGTAAGAGGCGACTAATTAGAAGTTTGCTGCGAAGTCGGATGTGCTGAAAGGCGAAAAAAATATATCAGTCCAGCTGTAAACCACAACACTAACGGCAATTTAATGACCTCATTTACTCTAGTGGAGCGTCGGGTATTTGATGCAAAACACATATTTTACACACCAATCGCCCTCGTTGGTTGATGTGGGCATCATTCCAGGGGCCGCCTGTTATTTCCCATGACATTTATCACATGATACCCATTTTCTGCTGGACCGACCTGGTAGCCAGTGGTAAGTTTAGAAAAAATAAAACCATCCACGTAATGTGTATTTGAACCTTCGGGCCAGCAGGTAACCAACGTCCTAGCATGTTACCGCACTTTTCCTGGGTGTTTGGATGATGCAGTAACCACCAACTGTAAAGAATATTGTGTATGGTAAATCGTTTCTAAAAGGCCATTGTTAAAAAGTCTTTCCATCCTTTCCTTAGCATCCACGTAGCGGACATATAAAGAATTTACGTCATCTGCATAGTCCAAATGCAAAGAATTTTTACATTTTTTTTGGGTTTCCAATTCTACAGAACGAATCGATTGTTCTGGGCTTCTCTGGTCATTAACCAAATTGTCATCAGTTGAGAAAAGCCACGCAGACGATGATAAAGATGTTGATGATGATTTCGATAATGATGGTGATAATAAGACTTACGATGATGACAAAGATGATGATATTGATGATGAAGATTAAAATAAAGATGATAATGAAGATAAGCATGATGAAGATAATAAAGTTGAAAACGATAATAATGACGCGGATGAAAATGATGATGAAGACGATGATAATGATGACAATGATGCTGAAACTGATAAAGATGATCAACTTTAGGCCTTACCTTGTAACGTTCCAGCGCGTTTAGTGTGAGGTAAAATCCATCCGTGGAGTAGACACACAGAGCTGACAGGAGATCGAAAATCTGCATCTTTACCATCAGGTTGTCTGTCTCCATGGCTACAATAGACAGTGGGTCAGAACGGGAAGAAGGGACAAAGAGATAACTTAGGGAATGTTAATTATTGTGATTTTTATAACTGCATAAGCAAACACTACACAAATGGGGACTGAGTACTTACGGGAGTGTCCCGAGTGCTGTGATGTCGATTCCTAATTCAACATTCAACATTACACAAATGTGTCTTTATAGGCAGAAAAAAAGTATGTAGCGCACAAGGCCGGCCAAGAACAATATGGAACGATAACATTAGAGAAATTCTACATCACGATGTGTCTACAGTCGGGGCGGCCAGAAGAGCGAGAAAAAGCGGTAAAAGCGAAAGTGAAGAAGATTTACCACTCTAGGTGATTTAGATACTGGGGTCGGATCTTGGTGATTTAAGATTTATATTTCTTGGTGATTCAATCACCACAAAATGTGCAGGTTAGGATTTTTATTTTGCCTCTCTCCCCTCCCGCCACCGGAAATTAGATTTCCATTCCTTTTTAGGGATGGTAGCAAATCAAATTGTGTGCCCACTTTTAGAGAATGCCTCCTGATGCTATACCACACAAGGGATGCACCAAAAGAAGAGAAGGATGCAGAGCAATAGGTAGACCAAGAACAATAAGGGAAGATAACACAAGAGAAACCCTTTTTTCGTCCTAAGGTTTAATACCAATTATAGCATCAAGGACTTGAATACAAATAAGTTCTGAAAAAAGAAAAATATTGGAGACACCAACAACAGATTAGGCAGTTGAAATACTAGAGAAAAAAGTAATTAAAGTAACATCCTAGTTTACTTATTAAGGCAGTGATTTTTATAAAGAAGGAAATACAAAGAAAGAAATTATGACAAGCAGTGGTAAGGCATCAAACAGCAGCTTTTAATAGCTAGAACAAAGTATGGAAAGCTAAACTGTATAGTTCTAACCCCCCCCCCCCCCCCCCCCCCCCCCAAAAAAAAAACAACGTATTTTTAATTCCAATGTTATTTGAATTGTAACATTTGCAAGTGAAAATCTGAGATCATCTAAAGATATGGAACAAAAGTTAAATGCATTCAAAAACAAATGTCTCAGTAAAAGAATGGAAATAAAATTGGATAAATTCAAACGGAGTGAAGAAATAAGAGAAATGTCTGGACACATTCTGAAAAGAAACCAGCAAAGAATCACCAAACAGGCATTACAATGGGGACTGAAAGGATAAGGGAGACGAAGAAGCTCAAAAGAAAGAGTAAGATGAACTTTCATGAAAGAGGCCAAAGCTGCTGGACTAGATTCCATCCATGATATTGAACTCATTGCACAGGACATTATGGGAATGGAGGAAGAGACTGCGAGCCCTGTGTGACATAGGAAAGTGAATGAATGAATGAATGATTATTTAATGAATTAATCAATAAATGAATGAACAGTTTAATACTAAACTCAGATTCACATACTGTATGCGTGTGTGTGCGCGTGCGTGTGTGTGTGCGTGCGTATGTATGTGTGTGTGTGCGTTTGCGCGCGTTTCTTATTCTTCTTTGGCTTCCTGCATATTGCTTTGTCTAGCCATGCCCCTTTTAACATGCTCTTTTTTGGAGTCTGGTCATGGCTGCAGATTCAGTCATCACCTGGTTCTCGCAAACGTTGAACTTTTCGTACACCATTCAGAATATTCATCCTGAGCTTGTTCTTCCCTTTATTCTAAGCTGATTATATTCCTTCAATGTGGTTCTGTGTTTGTAGCTGGCAGTAGCACAGTTTCCTCAGATAACTTAAATTTTGTTATTCTTTAATAAGAGGGCTCCGTGGTCTCGAGGCATGATGTCCACCTCGAGTGCTAGAGGTTCCGGGTTCAATCCCCGGTAAGGGTTGGGATTTTTCACGTGGACTTGGACTTCTAGTAATTCCCCCTGGTCTCTGGGTAGTGAGATCGGACGCCCGTGTGCATCGTGGAGCACGTAAAAAATCCAATGACAGTAGGAAATCGAAAAAAGTAGACTAACGGCGTTGCCGGGCAAAATTTGGAGTTAAAAATCTACCCAAAGTATTTCAGGATCTTTGCCGGTGCTACAGAGCCTGTGAACCTTTTCGGAATAACATCTATATTCTTTATTAAACAATACAGTTAATTTCAACCCATCTTGTTTTAATTTTTTCATCATTTAAAACTGTATGTGTCCCTGCTCCTCCGACATCTCTGTTAAGACAAAATAAACACTCTAAAAGCCAATAGCGTTAAAAGTCATTGACCAAAAAAACTAGGGTTTAATGACGCCCGGCTCGCTAGCGAAGTTGGTTAAACCTGACTTTGCGGCGACCGGGTGACGAATTCCTTGTGGAATTCGGGGGTAGGCAGAAAAGCCACATTTCTCCCAGATTTACTGTATCTATCATGGAATCAATGCCGAAGGGTTGCGATATCCATAGTACAGAGACAAGGGGTTAACAACACATGGTTTCTAGATACTTGAAAAAAAAAAAAAAACCAGTGACAGGTGACTCATCCCCGCTTTCAGCAGATTGTCTTATCTTGGTTACAATGTTTTAGCACTGCCTTCAGCCGCGTGAAGTGTATTTTTAACACTTACACTGTTTTACTACTTTTAACGCGGTTTAAAGCTTAAGCTATGCTGGTTTAACGCGAAAGGGAGACTGGCCTGAAACAACCTGGCCCTTTGGCCTAGAAACGCGAAGACTGCGACGTGAAGCCTGAAGTACAGATGTAATGAAGTACCAGGATGGGGAGCATTTCCGCTGACCCAGTGAAGCAGAGAATGAAATTGCTGTTGTAGAAGACACCAACCAGGAATAATGGTTACTGATTGCTTTGTACTCCCGTGGCAAAGGATGGTAAGATTGTGTGTTGTGGACTAGTTTGGGGCAAAACACTGAGAAGAAAGAGAAGGACCGGGGGAGAGGGAGAGGACGACAGCGATAGACATAAAAATAGAGAGAAATGGAGAGAGACAGTAGGAAAGAAAGATACAGACAGACAGACAGACAGACAGACAGACAGACAGACAGACAGACAGACAGACAGACAGACAGACAGACAGACAGACAGACAGACAGACAGACAGACAGACAGACAGACAGACAGACAGACAGACAGACAGACAGACAGACAGACAGACAGACAGACAGACAGACAGACAGACAGACAGACAGACAGACAGACAGACAGACAGACAGACAGACAGACAGATAGATAGATAGATAGATAGATAGATAGATAGATAGATAGATAGATAGATAGATAGATAGATAGATAGATAGATAGATAGATAGATAGATAGATAGATAGATAGATAGATAGATAGATAGATAGATAGATAGATAGATAGATAGATAGATAGACAGATAGACAGATAGACAGATAGATTGAATTAAAGAAAAAAATAGGTTTAAAACAAATCCGCTTTTTTAAGTCGAAAGTGACGAAATCGAATTCAAATACTGATGACTTTTAAATGCAAGCGTTTGTGCCATCGATCGATTGATCGGTTTGTTCGTCCCGGGGTGCTACTTTAAGGTTGACCTTACCATCCTCATCAATTCAGTCTGGAGGCAGACCAACAAGGCAGATCCCAGACACCCCGTTCAACCTACAAAACTGTTATATTGAAAGCATCCATAACAGCTACACCAGACATGTGCAACCTGCAGTCCCATGTGGGTAAGGATTACCCCACTGAAATACGAACCTGGATTTTCCGTGTGAGAACCCAGCCACGACCGGCTCCAGCTGACGGGCCAAGATGCTGACGTCACCGAGTAGGGCAAACGATGCGTCAAGGTAGCGGTTTTCAAACAAGAAATAAACTATTTTCGACAGTGGCTAGGGAAGACAACTTAAATTGTAACTTGTAAGTATCTACATGCCTTCTTTAATAATTGCACAATTTTTAGCCGACTTTTTTTTTTTCATTGTTGCCGCGGCACCCCTAGCATACGCTCATAACACCACGGAGTGCCTCGGAATCAAGTTTGAGAACCGCTGTATTAACGTATGGTTGGCCCGAATAGGTGACGTCAGCAGCACAGCTCGTCAGCTGGAGCGGGTCGTGACACAGCGATCTCAACCGTTTGCGAGCCACACCTCTCCTGGGTGATGTTGCACAGTTCCCTGTACCATGGGTGCAACCACTCGGAAGATGCTTTTTCTTTCTAGGAGCCCCACTGGTATAGAAGTAAAGGACCTTTTCCACGCCTTTCAGGCGTATTGGGTATTTAGGACTATATTTCATAGACCAAACGGCACTTGGTGGGTGATGTGGTCAGCATCACGCCGGCCGCCTTTACTTCCCTGGACTGTACCTGGTACCCATTCAAGGCTGGGTCGACCTGGGAGCCAAGGTCATTTTTGAATAAAATTCGGCCCTAGTCAGAAACCGAACCCATGACCTTCTGATCCGCAGCCGAGCGTCTAGCCGCTAGATCACGGCTGCTTCAATGGGTATAAGAATCCTATAATAATCTAAGTCCAGACAGAATTTAACACTCATTTTTGAGACAACTTGTGTAAGCAAGGCCTAAGGTACTGCTTGGTCCGGAGCACCTAATGCTGTTGCCATGTCTCTGTATACAGTGCAAAATTACTAGACTAGCAGTATCTGAACAGTTTCCAACACAGGTCAACATTCGAACTGTGCTCGGCAGAGGGCGCCTCCATAGCAGAATGCCTACCATGTGGTCCGTAGATCATTGCTAGTTTGTTGTATTGTGTTAATGGTCTTTCTAAATACTAACTCGGAAGTGCCGAATTTGATTTCAATTATCGATGACTTTTAAAAGTAAGCAGATGGGTGATCGATCGATTCATGGTTTGTCCACCCCGGGTTGCACCACAACAGACCTATCCTCATACTTACCTACCACCCTCACAACATCCGTGCCAAAAATATTCTTCCCAGGCATCTCTCCCTCCTTAGGGCTGGCGCTGCAAAATTTTCTCAGAACTTCCTTTAGTGGCCTACAGACATGACCGCAACCTTCTGGACGTTCTAGTAAAAAGCCGTTTACGTTGAGCTGTCAACACAGTTTCATGTAAAATTATTGAATTACGGCGCTTGGCCTTTCGGGGTTGTATACTCGTGGGCACAGCGTGTCTTTTCATTCCACTGGCAAGACATCGGAGTGGTTGCTTCGGGATATGTCAGTTAAGTTATCTCGTGTATTCTTGTTGTTTTGTTTCATTTATGTATGTCTGGTGAAGACTCTTTAGTTGCAATGTCCATGTTTCGTTTGCGTTTGTTATATTATAAAGCTCGCTAATATACTTTTCACTCGGCTTTATATCTTTTCATAAATGATCTTTCTCGGCTGAAGCTCTAGGGCCTATGGTAAGTGACGACCCCAGTGTTCAACATTCTGACCCCTGAACAACTCGAACAGCTCTGTTCTGTAGGCATAATGACTATGATAATCTGCCCCGTATGGGCATTGCTCTTATGGAAAGAAATCACAACCTACTCCGAGACAAATTGTGGCAAGTAAACGAGGTTAAGGAGTGTTCAAAAAATCATCTGTATCAGAAGGTTTTGGATAGATATGATTATCAACGTCACATTAAATGAACTATAAGAAGGTTTTCGATAGACATGACTAGCAATGCCACACGGCAGGAAGTTTAAGAAGGTTGTGGATAGACATGACTACCAACGCCACAGGGTATGGACCACCAGAAGGTTGTGGATAGACAACACTTCCAACGCCACATGGCAGGGTCTATCAGAAGAAGGTTGTGGTAAGACATAACTACCAAGGCCACTCAGCATGGACTATTAGAAAAAGATTGTGGATAGTCGTAACTACCAACACAACATAGTATAGACTATTAAAAGAAGGCTGTTGATAGATATAAATACCAACGCCACACGGCATAGACTCTAAGAAGACAGTTGTTGATAGACATGACTACCAACGCCACATGGAGTGGACTATAGGAAGAAGGTTGTTGATAGACAATACAACCAACGCCACATGACATAGAGTATAAGAAAAAAGGCTGTTGATAGACATGACTACCAACGCCAGACGACATGGCTATAAGAAGACGGTTGTTGACAGACAATACAACCAACGCCACATGGAGTGTACTATAAGAAGACGGTTGTTGATAGACAATACAACCAACGCCACATGGAGTGTACTATAAGAAGACGGTTGTTGACAGACAATACAACCAACGCCACATGGAGTGGACTATAAGAAGACGGTTGTTGATAGACAATACAACCAACGCAACATGGAGTGGACTATAAGAAGACGGTTGTTGATAGACAATACAACCAACGCCACATGGAGTGGACTATGAGAAAAAGGCTGTTGACAGACAATACAACCAACGCCACATGGAGTGGACTATGAGAAAAAGGCTGTTGACAGACAATACAACCAACGCCACATGGAGTGTACTATAAGAAGACGGTTGTTGATAGACAATACAACCAACGCCACATGGAGTGTACTATAAGAAGACGGTTGTTGACAGACAATACAACCAACGCCAAATGGAGTGGACTATGAAAAAAAAGGCTGTTGATAGACAATACAACCAACGCCACATGGAGTGGACTATGAGAAAAAGGCTGTTGACAGACAATACAACCAACGCCACATGGAGTGGACTATAAGAAGACGGTTGTTGATAGACAATACAACCAACGCCACATGGAGTGGACTATAAGAAGACGGTTGTTGATAGACAATACAACCAATGCCACATGGAGTGTACTATAAGAAGACGGTTGTTGACAGACAATACAACCAACGCCACATGGAGTGGACTATAAGAAGACGGTTGTTGACAGACAATACAACCAATGCCACATGGAGTGGACTATGAGAAAAAGGCTGTTAATAGACAATACAACCAATGCCACATGGAGTGGACTATGAGAAAAAGGATGTTGATAGACATGACTACCAACGCCACACGGCATGTACTATACGAAAAAGAAACAGCATCATATGCCACAAAGCCAGCCAATTTGCTCTGCTTAGGCCACAATCCACATAACTTTATTCTATTTATCCTAACGTGTTTTAAATGAAAGAAAATGCAATCATAACATTGAAACTTTCTGGTCTGTTGACTTCCAATAAAGGCTAGTATTGTATAAGCAGGATTATTATTTATCAAAAGAGGGCATAGCTATAAACATTCTCTACACACCACTGAATCATGCTGGCTGCTTGAAAAAACACACGCACACACCCCACATACACACACAGGTTAAGTCTTTGAATGCCAAGGAACTCACCATGCGTTCAATGGTTATAGTATATAAATATATATATATATATATATATATATATATATATATATATATATATATATATATATATATATGTGTGTGTGTGTGTATGTATCGTACACATTAAAAAATTGATTTCCTAATATTTTCTTATCTTATGGACCCCTTCACACTCCTCTAGGCTTATTATGCACATAAAGCTAGACGAATATTGTATAGACCAATCGGCACTCGGTGGTCAGTATTACGCCAGCCGCCTTTACTTCCCATGACTTTACCTAATAATACCCACTCCAGGCTGGATCGACCTGGGAGCAAAGGTTATTTTTGGAAGAAAAAAAATGTCTAGCTACGTTTGGATTCGAACCCAAGATTTTCATATTCGCAGACGTGCGCCTAGCCACTACATCACAGCGACTACCTCCAGTCTTGTGGGAACGCCTTGTTTTCATTGTTTTTAGAAGGGGTTAAATAACACGTTCTCCTCCAGATCTGTTTGTTTTAGCTCTGTGAGGCTAAACAATTGTTTCAGCTCTGTGAGACTAAACAATTGTTTCAGCTCTGTGAGACTAAACAATTGTTTCAGCTCTGTGGGGCTAAACAATTGTTTCAGCTCTGTGATACTAAACAATTGTTTCAGCTCTGTGAGACTAAACAGTTGTTTCAGCTCTGTGAGACCACGGCCGATTCTATTTTTAGGCCAACTAGGTCAACGGGGACTCCCGTTCTTGTGCAAGTCGAGAGGCCGCTCTGTTTTGGAGAAGGCGGTGTGTGAGAGTAAACAATTCTTGCTCTGGTGGACAAAAACATTTAACATAGAGACTGTTGAATTCCAGACTATCTGGGACCGAAAGAGTAAAATATTGCATTGAAATGGAGCTAGTGTGTCTGCTTACAAGGACAACGGTATGTACGGCGCTTACGTTCAACATGGAGGTTAGGCATGTGTGCACTGTTTTTAGTCGGGGCAAATTCTTGCTTCTGACAGACGGTGGAAGTTGAAATTTCCTCCATTTGTAGACTGACAAGGGAATTGTTTTGTCGCCCATCTACTATGGTGAGTGCATAGTGCGACACTGTGAGCTGCTGATTTAATTTGGAATGGTTTGTTTTTTGACAGTGACCAACGTGGTGTTGTGAACTGTAGATTCAGTAAACAGCGAGTGGCCTTGTGCCACATAATTATTGGTGCCTTATGTGATTAAAATTATTCGCGTGTGCAACTGCTGATCTTTTTTAACTACTAACCATCGATGATGAACTGCATTTCTAGTGTCGGAATGTTTGTCGTAGCACTTCCGATTGCTGCCTTATGCTAAAACTAAGATTACCAAGGTAAGTAAGAAAAGACCATTTCCCGCCACTGTTGCTTCAGGAATATGGTTCTCAACCCACAGTTTTATACACAACTAGATGGGTTATATGACCAACCCGACGCCAGTCGCCTTTATTTCTTACGATATTTCCTGATACTCATTTTTTTTACGCTCACGTCTTTTTCACGTTAGAGCCAAGGCAAATTATAGGAGTCAGCCTTAGTGCGGATTTCAAACGAAGGCTTTCCAGCCGACAGGTATGCGTTTGACTAAAATTGGTCTAGGCTTAGGGGTCGATAATAAGCTTAAAAAGACTGTAGACCAGTTCTCAACCTGTGGGTCGTGACCCTTTTGTGGGTCTAACGACCATTTCATAAGGGTCCTCAAAGACCACCGGATGGCACATATTCACTGAAGTTATGAAGTAGTAAAGAAAATAACTGTATGATTGGGTATCGCCACAGCATGAGAAACTGTATTAAAGGGTCGCGGCTTTAGCAAGGTTGAGAGCCACTGCTGTAGGCGATATAAGGTTTGGCGTCATTGTACTGAAGCTGTACGATATAAAGGAAATAAAAGGGCAGAGCAAGGGAACAGGAATATATGATAATCCTGATAATAATGCTGCTGCTGCTGATGATGATAATAATATTAATAATAATTAGGGCTTTTTTTTCTACATAAAAAGGGGCTGGTACTCAGTATAAAGTGTCTAATAAAAGGTTGGCGGTACACACCACAAGAGCGCTGAAAAAAGATTGCCTTAAAATAATACCTGTATTGCGTACCGTTATGTATCACAAGACTAAAATAAAACAGTCCCGACGATGACAATAGTGGTTAACGATAGGACGACGATAAAGAAGAACAGTAGTAGTAGCAGTAGAAGGAAGAGTAGGTATATGATTAGTAATGGTGGTGATGATGGTGGAGATAGTAGTTGCAGAGTTTGTTCTTCTTACCAGACGCAAATCGCCTGCCAAACAGATTGTCGTTGCGGTCCCCAAAAGCCAGGAGGCAGTCCAAGCCGCTTCTAGAGTTGACCACTTCTCTGATACAAGAGACACAGGTCATGCGAAGCACCATGTCAGTGAAGTGATTGCTGTGGTAGTTGCTCAGGTTTTTCAGACACTGGAAAAAAACCCAATTAAACATGAATTAATAAGAAACATCAAAGGATATTTAAAAACAGCACACAAAGCAACATATCTGAGGATAAACGAAAATAATCATGCACATAATAGCTCGCCGCTGCTGCTGCTGAACCTCCTCCTCTTCATCAAAACCATCGTCGACGTCTCTTCTTCCTTCTTCCTTCTTCCTTCTTTCTTCTTCCTTCTTTCTTCTTTCTTCGTCCTCCTCCCTTCCTCCTTCCTTCCTTCTTCCTTCCTTCCTTCCTTCTTTCCTTCTTCCTTCATTCTTCCTTCCTTCTTCCTTCCTTCTTCCTTCCTTCTTCCTTCCTTCTCCCTTCCTTCCTTCCTTCTTTCTTCCTTCCTTCTTTCTTCCTTCTTTCTTCCTTCCTTCTTTCTTCCTTCTTTCTTCCTTCTTTCTTCCTTCTTTCTTCCTTGTTTCTTCCTTGTTTCTTCCTTCTTTCTTCTTTCTTCTTTCCTTCTTTCCTTCTTCCTTCCTTCCTTCTTCCTTCCTTCTTTCTTCTTCCTTCCTTCTTCCTTCCTTCTTCCTCCCTTCCTTCTTCCTTCCTTCTTTCTTCCTTCCTTCTTTCTTCCTTCTTTCTTCCTTCTTTCTTCCTTCTTTTCTTTCTTCCTTCTTTCTTCCTTCTTTCTTCCTTCTTTCTTCCTTCTTTCTTCCTTCTTTCTTCCTTCTTTCCTCCTTCTTTCCTCCTTCTTTCTTCCTTCTTCCTTCCTTCTTTCTTCCTTCTTTCTTCCTTCCTTCTTCTTTCTTCTTTCTTCTTCTTCTTCTCCTCCTCCTCCACCTCCTCCTCCTCCTCCTCCTCCTCCTTCTTCTTCTTCTTCTTCTTCTTCTTCTTCTTCTTCTTCTTCTTCTTCTTCTTCTTCTTCTTCTTCTTCTTCTTCTTCTTCTTCTTCTTCTTCTTCTTCTTCTTCTTCTTCTTCTTCTTCTTCTTCTTCTTCTTCTTCTCCTCCTTCTCCTCCTCCTTCTCCTCATCCTCCTCCTCCTCCTCCTCCTTCTTCTTCTTCTTCTTCTTCTTCTTCTTCTTCTTCTTCTTCTTCTTCTTCTTCTTCTTCTTCTTCTTCTTCTTCTTCTTCTTCTTCTTCTTCTTCTTCTTCTTCTTCTTCTTCTTCTTCCTCTTCTTTTTCTTCTTTGACTTTTACCGATGTCTAGGTAGATCATATTCTTCTTTAATCTTTTGTCATACTGCTTATGCCGAAAATCGTTACATTGGAGTTAGATGTTTTTTCTGTCTTTCGCTAGTATATTTTTTTAACTTGTGTTAATGTCATCTTGCCTTTCTCAAGTGTCTCTATTACCTTCTCCACCCATCTCTTTCTTGGTCGCCCTCTAAATGTGTAGCCTTCTGTCCTCATATAGTGCCCTCAAGCTGCTGGCAAATTAAATTTTCTTATTACCAGATGACCAAACTGTTTGAGTCCTTGATGTTCTATGAAACCATTTACCGGTTCTGTGTTTACCATTGTTCTTAGTTCTTCATTGGTGACTGTCCGTTCTTGTTTCTCTCGTCGCATTTCGTGTACATCTCACTCAACTCTCATATTGTAACTGTCCGTTTATGTTTTTCTAGAATTTTCCATGCCTGTCATTGAGAGCAGATAGTTGGTATGAATAGCGCATTGATCAGCTGCATTTGTATCAAGAACTTTATCTTACTGTATAGACACATACAGACAGACAAACGGACAGACAGACAAATATTAACTGCAATCACACCATTCCGTGAATGCACTCAGGGGCGCTATCACAAAAAAGAGAGAGGGAAGTGACGTCTTGTTTAAGTGCACACTAATTGAGATTATAATTAATATTATCATCATCATCCTTATTATTAGGAGTCGCCGTGGTGTAGTGACTAGATGCCCACCTGTGAATCGGAAGGTTGTTGATTCGAGTCCTGACGGAGCTGGACATTTTTAAAAAAATTACCTTGGTTCTCAGGTCGAAACATCGTTGAATGGATACCAGTAGAAATTATGGGAAGTAAAGGCGGTCAGTGTGATGCTGAACACATCACCCACCAAATGCCGATTGGTCTATAAAATATAGGTCTAGCCCTATATACCCAATACGCCCGAAGGCATGAAAAAGTGACCTTTACTTACCTTACTATTCCAACACCATCAGTTTTTGGCTGTTTCTGACTTAATTAACTAGTCCATTTTTAGTTCCTCAGCTAGTCATCTCGACACCAACTGTTAAAACCCACGCAAGGCGGTTTGCTGCCAAATCTCCCTCAAGTATTTTAAAAGACCTTTATAGATGGTTGGGGAGGGGAGTGGGCTAGCGTTAGGGACGGGAGTGGGCTAGCGTTAGGGACGGGAGCGGGACACTTATTCCCCCCCCCCCCCCCCAGGAGTGTTAGCACCGCCCCCATCATTTTTTTTTTGGAGCGGAGGTAAGGAAAAATGGGGTGGTGGATTGGGGAAAAGGGGGGGGGGGGGTACTCGAGAGCCCTAGCTTTCAGGTTCCGGCGCCCATAAATTCATTAATTGCAGAACACTATTGTTCGAAATGTAAAATTTGCAATCTTCGGCATATTTATGATGTCATGCAGATGCCCGTGAGAACGTGAAACAACTGACCTCATTCATTTGTACCTTCTCGCCTAATTGCTTGCCTGGAGTAACAATGAATAGCAAGCACATTCGCTATCCCTATAACTTGGCTATTCAGATGATCTGACTGAAGCAACATCGAGGTATATTTACATATATTCGCATATTTACTAGGTATTCTAGGAAGTATCGGTTAGTTCGACGTTAATCTCCACAAATGAAATAGGTTACGTTTCATTCACAAGTTTGTTGCGCTTGTATACTTTCCTGAAGGTTACGGGTGTGTCCCGCTCTGTTGTTTGGTTTCTACGATGTCTTGCATTTACGTTTTCATTCCGAGAAAGAGAATGCCTGTGACACAGGTTGCAGCACTCTCTAGTGGATGTTGTGTTTGACCCAGTTTCTCCATGTTTTTGGAGTGTTTAAAGCGTGAGCGTGCTGTAATATACAACAGGCGATATTAACAGCATTGCGGAACACCCCGTAACAGTGTGTGAATGTCACGGGGCTCAGGAACTACAAATCAGAAGTGAGCAAGTGTGTATATGGGCGGGGTCCTAGAGAGACTAACGTCGAACTAACTGGAAGTATCTGCCTGTTTTCATTACGTCAACTTTATTTTATTAACCTTACATTCACCACCTGCCTACACAAATATGTGTCTATATAATTACCCATACATACACCACCTTCCGACGTAAATCTTTATCTATATAATGAACCATTACCTACATTACATATATGTGTCTATATAGTTGAACCCTATAATCACCACTACCTGTACATTTACCCACTACCTACACCTATGTAAAAAAAAGGACCCTTTCACGCCTTTAGGCGTATAGGGCATATATGGGTAGACCTATATTTTTATAGACCAGTCGGCACAAGATGGGTGATGTGGTCAGCATCACGCCGGCCGCCTTTACTTTCCCGGGACTGCACCCGCTACCCACTCAAGGCTGGGTCGACCTGTACACCTATGTGTATCTGTATAAATAACTATACATTAACAATCTGCCTACTTACAGCTGTGTCTGTATAATTAACCATACATTCATCTCCTGCCTACATAAATCCTTGTCTATATAATTGACCATACATTCAACACCTGCCTACATAAATATATACCTATATAATGAACCATACACTCATTACTTGCCGACATAAATCTGTATCTATATTATTAACCACATCACCCACCAAGTGCTGATTGGTCTATAAAATATAGGTCTGGCCCTATATGCCTAATACCCCTGAAGGCGTGGAAAGGGTCTTTTACTTTTACTTTATTATTAACTCTACATTCAACCTCTAATATGTGTCTATATAATTAACCATACATTCACCCTCTGCCTGCATAAATATGTGTCTATATAATTAACCATACATTCACCAACTTCCTACATAAATGTGAATCTGTATAAATAACCCCACCTTCAACATCTACCCTCTTACATATGTGTCTATATAATTAATCCTACAGTCACAATTACCTACACACATATGTGTCTATATAATTAAACCCCATAATCACCACTACCTATACATATACATACATATATTTACCAACTAACTACACTCATAAGTATTTGTATTAATAACTAAACATTCACCATCTACATACTTACAGCTGTTTATGTATAATTTACCATACATTCAACACCTACACACATTCATATGTGTCTGTATCATTAACCATCGATTTACCATTTACTCACCTACCAATATGTATGTCTAATTAATCATATATTTACCACCTGCCTACATACATATGTGTCTATCCATTTAACCATAGATTAATAGGTTGCCTTCTTACGTGTCTATCTAATTGGTACCTACCTATCTAATTCTACACACCTACCTACTCACCTTACATAACTATCTAATTAACTATTATCAACCCACCTACCTATATGTATTGCCTCCATTAGATTAACCAAATATTCGCTTAACTATACATCTATTTGAGTAGCTTCCTTTCAACCTATTTATTAAATTTTAACGCCCTATATGGTCTCGAGCCATGGTGTCCGCCTCGAGTGCTTGAAGTTTCGGTTTCAATCCCTGGTATACACTGAGATTTTTGCACGTGGAGTTAGACTTCAAGAGATTTCTTCTGGTCTGCGGGTAGTGAGATCGGACGCCCGTGTGCATTGATGAGCACGTAAAAAATATCTTGGCAGTTGGAAATCGAAAAGAATAGCCTAACGGCGCTGCCCAGGTAAAGTATCTCAGAATCCTCGCCGGTGCTACAGAGCCTGTGCACTTTGCTAAGCTTCTTCAGACAAACTTGAGTTACAAGAACAACAATGCACTTATGGATCACACCCGCGTGCCATGACGATGATCCGCTGTTCAAAACTTCAAAACCGTCCCTATATTTGTCTATTAACTACATAACTACGAACAATGCACTGACTATAAGTCTCGATTCTAACTTAAACGGAGAAAACTTAAATTTGGCACACTCAAAGCTCCATATATCTGAAATCAAAGTATAATTGTCACTTCATGTAGATTTTCATTATTTTAATTTTCTTAATTTGATTGTGTCTCCCGCTAATCTGCTCGGCGTTTTATAATAATATTAACTGGATTTTCTGCTCCAACGATTTATAACAAATCGAACACACGCACACATACACGCACGCACACACACACACACACAAACACACAGATTTACTGATTTACTGATTTAAAAATCAACATCATAGCACACCGGGCATAACCATAGATGCTCTGTCTCCAGCAGAAATGACGTAAGGTGTAGATGCTAATTGTCCCGTAGCACACTGATTATACACACGCCGATCTCTTTCTCTCATCCGCCCCTACTTGCCGGTTAAACACTCCGTTTCTGGTTCACACGTGTTATTTCCTCTAATCTCGTCTCTTCTGCCAAAAGTCGTTCATATATGGTCATTAGAAAATCTCCCACACACACATGCAGGCACACACACACGCGCGCACACACAAATGGTTTGTGTACCTAATAATGACGGATTTTAATAATTTGAATTACCCCCCACCTATTTTTTCTCCGGATTGGGCTCACTGAACATGTTGTTTTAGTTAATTTTCTTATTGTTTAGCCCCGCCCCAACATGGAGCGCATTTTGCTGTTGTTATTTTCAAGACCCCATCTCGGCTGTTGTCAGGGGCCCTAATATAAACTAACTGTTGAACGGGGTTTGTGGGACTTGTGCCTGGAGGATTCTCATCCGAATGGTGGCACTTTGTGTTACCGGGTGTTGGTCGCTAGTTGTGTGGTCCTGGTGGGGTAGAACATCATCTATCACGTCTGTTTTATCACGTCTGTTTTCTCACGTCTTTAAAAGAAATCAGTTGAAAGATAATATGTTGATTGTGATGAAGAAATCGTACTGGCAAATGATAACTGGCTTAGTTTGAAACCGGGTGTTATAATCTCATATCTGTTCCATTGAGATAATTGCAATTGTAACTGACTCCCATGTTATGCTGAGAAAGGTAGAGACAGGTGTGCTCCGTGGGGAGTGGCAAGCATAGCTTCAGAGGTCCTAGGTAGTTAGCATCCTTTGGATATTTAATCCATGTTATGCAGGTGTTTGGGGAAATAAACAGGCAGATAGACTCACTGGTTGGGCACCACTTGGTAGTGAATTGATGCCTGACAAGCTAACTGTTGTGAGGACCCTTTTGGAACGAGCGAACAGTGCGGAGGCACAAAGAGACCATCAAGACTCAGGGAAAGGCCAGACGGATACAGAATCAAACCATTACTGGGACTATTGGAATTGGAACTCTTAGCTTGCTGCTGAAGATAGGGGCGGAGCGCTTATGGGGATGTCCTGTGTGCTGTAATGTCTATTGATAATTTAACATTGAAAAATACATCTATATACGGTAAATTAAATGAAAGGAAAGATTTTTTTTCTTTCAAATCCAGAAATCATGAGCTGCTAACCCTTTGGGTCGGTACTACGCATATCGCAACCCTTCGTGACTGAGGCCCCTGTGAGGGTATATTTTCGGCCTTGATAATTTGGGACCGTTATTCGGAAGACAGCCCAAACAAGGCTATAACAGACCCATAATAATTGATATAACACGTGCGTGTCCTTCAACAAGCTATATATCTATTAAAGACTCTCTCTCTCTCTCTCTCTCTCTCTCTCTCTCTCTCTCTCTCTCTCTCTCTCTCTCTCACACACTCTTTGTACCCAACCAGGACATCACACAAGCGATAAACAACCGGTGATACAAGTGCTACAATACGGATGAGGATCACCCGCGGAGACGTCCCAGAAACACCTTTCAGCTGTAAGGCCATATTTATGGCCCGGCTATATTCAGGGCCCCCGTCAAAAGCAAGGGTGAGGCTAAAAAAAAATGGCTTCCAGCATAGAGACAACTAACGTATTGAAGACGACAGAAGGATGTTTATATCTGTAACTGTTACTGTTGTTTATTGCCTCCTACTTTGATTACACATAGCACTCCATACCATGTGTAAACTTCCTCCTTAACTTATTTTTTTTTTAAATCATTACTTATGTATATCGCTCGAGCACTCTCATATTCAACAATATAACTTACCTGAAACAAAAGACCAAGTCCATCAAACTCCAGAAATCCTCTCATCCAATCATTGTCATTGCATTTAATAGCTTTCCGCAATCGAGACAGGTTCTGGACCGTTGGATTCCTCAACCACAATATAAAATTCAAAGACTCCGATTCGAACCCAGACTTCTTGGCGGTCTCAACGCCTTCATCTTCTGACGAGTTGGCCAAGTCAAGACCAACAACGAAGCCATCCGAGCGACCTCTTTTGCCGATTCGTTTCTGCTTCTTTTTGGCAGCAAATCTCGATGACTTTTCTGTCTCCCCATTTGCTGTGGAAAGTGGTCGTGGTTTGCTCATTCTGAGGAGCTACCAGTTGATCAGAATCAGTCTATGTCATTTGGGAAGATTAGGCGTCTTTGTTAAAGCTTCTGTGTTATTTGGTTAACTTTGTGTTGATTTGGTTCTGAAAATAAATGTCAAAAGATATTTATGTATCACAAGAAAAAGTAATGTGCTGGGAATCGAATAAGCAGACAGAATGACCGGTGCATATACATATACATATTGTACAATAAACACTGGAACTCTTCGATAGCTGTTGAAGACGAGGAAGAGGCGCTATTGGAAATATCTGTACTTGGTTCAACTAAACTCAGGTAAAAGCAATTATATGGCAATTATCTTTCTGTAGAATATAAAGAATTCGGTCCCTACCGGTGGTAAAGCTTGCATTTAACGGTTATCATATCTGTTCGCACTTTCCGTCAGTTGCAAACACACACAAAAAAGCATTACTTCTTCAACCCCACCCCCCCCCCCCCGCTTTTTTTCCTTCAAATTATAAATAATACAAACATTTAATTATAGATTAGTTTCGGGGTGGTTGGGGGGGGGGGGGGGGGGGGGGGGTGGTGTTCTAGTCATATATTTAAGCGGGCGCCACCTAAAAAAAGGTTTAAAAACCACTAGCATAGGCAATCTTGTCTACGAATCGCAGCTTAGTGTTGATACTGTAAACGCCATTTTATTTTACAGCAAAATCAAAGATACTTGTTTCTCTCTCTCTCTCTCTCTCTCTCTCTCTCTCTCTCTCTCTCTCTCTCTCTCTCTCTGTGTGTGTGTATGTGTGTGTCTCCCCATCTGTCTGTCTATATATATATATATATATATATATATATATATATATATAGATAGATAGACATTCAATAGTATAAAACTTTATTGTACAGTTCGTTACTTGTCGATATGATAGCTATTTCTTCTCACGCGCCTTTCGCCTCCATTCTCACGGAGCCGTAACCTTCGTTCTACATCAAGTGCTGCGACAGAGCCTAAGAGTTGACCATTCATGAAGTGGATCACATCCGGCTTTAACTTTAAGAATATCGACAGTTGTCAGGTGCAAACTATCTTGTGTTTGAAGAAAACTTGCTTTCATATTGACTATGCATAAATGGTGCAACCACACTGGATAAATTGTGTCAAAATATTTCGGAGCTCTAGGTAAGTGGATGAAAATAATATTTAATTTACTAACTAACTTCTCACAGCAAGTCACTCTTTGCCTCTGTACTAATTGTTGACTAACAGTATAATTTTTGTAAACTGGCTTTTGCTTTGCTTCGCGAACACTGGCTGTAAACTCTTGCGGAAACTTCTGGTTGCTCATCGACTTCTTTTGCATATTTGCAGCTCTACGGTCTGTTAATTTTTGTAAACTGGCTTTTGCTTTGCTTCGCGAACACTGGCTGTAAACTCTTGCGGAAACTTCTGGTTGCTAATCGACTTCTTTTGCAAATTTGCAGTTCTACGGTCTGTTAATTTTTTTAAACTGGCATTTGTTTTCCTTCGCGAACACTGGCTGTAAACTCTTGCGGAAACTTCTGGTTGCTCATCGACTTCTTTTGCAAATTTGCAGTTCTACGGTCTGTTAATTTTTGTAAACTGGCTTTTGTTTTCCTTCGCGAACACTGGCTGTAAACTCTTGCGGAAACTTCTGGTTGCTCATCGACTTCTTTTGCAAATTTGCAGTTCTACGGTCTGTTAATTTTTGTAAACTGGCTTTTGTTTTCCTTCGCGAACACTGGCTGTAAACTCTTGCGGAAACTTCTGGTTGCTCATCGACTTCTTTTGCATATTTGCAGTTCTACGGTCTGTTAATTTTTGTAAACTGGCTTTTGTTTTGCTTCGCAAACACTAACTGTAAACTTTTGCGGAAACTTCTGGTTGCTTATCCACTTCTTTTGCATATTTGCAGTTCTACGGTCTGTTAATTTTTGTAAACTGGCTTTTGTTTTGCTTCGCAAACACTAACTGTAAACTTTTGCGGAAACATCTGGTTGCTTATCCACTTGTTTTGCATATTTGTTACCAAAAAATTCGCAATGATAAGGAATTGATTTCATCCAACAAGATGAAACTGGACAAATTTGTTTGTGCTGTTTGTACCTTGAGGATACATATTTAGTAGTGCTTTAAGTACTGTTAAGAAAACTATTCTGGGTGAAAAAAGTATTGAACATATCAATTTCATACTGATTGTGCTTGTTTACTAATTATAAAATAACAGTATAATTGTATGTTGTAGTAGTCTACAGTCTACTAATAATAATAATAACCATCAATCATTTATATTTATGTTATGTATGACACCCCCCCCCTCTCCCCCCGCTCCTCTGATGCAGCAATAACCTCTCAGAATCAAAGAGTTATCACTGATATTTCTTTACTTTTGCTGGAACAACTTTCAGTTTACATCTAAACGTTATTGATGTTTATGTTCATGTTGACTGTAGCAAAAGCATTTTTGTTTGTCTGTAAAACCCTTTATTGTTATATTTAATTGGCACACTTATTTACCTTAAAAATGACGTATAGTTCTATAAAATATGTCGAAAATTAATGAAACTGTAGTTTAATTTGTGTATACATCTCTTTGATAAAAACTGTTAACACAGAAGGACTCAATTCTTGCACAAGAACGGGAATCCCCGTTCACCCAGTTGGCCTATTTATAGCTAAAGATGGCCGTGAGTGGATATAAGCCAGTCAAGGGCCGTCTTAATTAACATTGATAGTAGGCTGTAATTGACTGTAAACACTCCCGGTGTTCTATTGTTAACCACTGGCATACAAGCTTTCTATCCATTTTCTAGGCTCTCTTTCCTTTCAAGAGCACTGAAAATTAGCTAGCACCAGTTTTAAAAGGCTGTATCGACATCACAGTAATGTGAGTGTGTGCACATGTGTGTGGGTGCGTGGGTGCGCTCGCGCGTCTGGGAGAGAAAGAAATGAGAGAATAAGGCTTAGAGTTTATGAATGCAGTTTTATCATTCCGAATACCAGGTGGGAACATCAACAGACGATTTGGTAGCAGTTGGAATTTTTGCTGATTTTGAAAACGATATGAGCGTCGACCGTTAACTGTAGCAAGCTACAGAAAGTAATTTTTTTGGTAGTAAACCACAAACAATCAACAAATGCTTGGTGTGGTCTGTAATGTCCCTGAAGAGGAAATACAACTACCTCTTCGAAGGTCGACCCAGTAGTAGAAGAAGTTGTAGTATTCGAGGTTTCAGCTTCACTGCAAACGAATCACTCCATAACGGTTCCATTCCTCCGACAGTGACAATCACACGAAAAAACCCTTCACTGTTTCATTTGAAAACTAGTAAACAGACAATTAGTTCCGGCAAAATACGGATACATGCATGCGCAGAAAGTACATAATACGGATGCTAGAGATGTCGATACCAGAAGTCGAAACCAGATTTGTTATTTTTTTTGTTCATTGGTGAAAGTAAGTAGTTAGTCACGATAAGTTAGCCTTACACACGCCAAATTAATACATAAGACATTTGGCCAGCTCAAACGAAATCGGGTTACCCGCCATTTTCTTAATATTACGACGATATCATTCCTATGAAATGCGCAGCTCACAGTGCTGTCCTAGCACTTAACTTAGTAGCTTAGGCAGCGAAACCGTAGTAGCTATAAGTCAAACAAGGGACGCCGTCGCCTTGAAAGTTGGCTGAATGGACTTTCAAAACTTTCGGACATTTACCAGACAATTAGTTTATGTGGACACATGCACACGCAGTCAATACATAAGGCACCTGTTAGAGATGTCATGCGGAAACTGAAATTAACATACCGTTGTCAGAAGTAGAAAAAAAAAATACACACATACACACACAAAGCTAATAGGACTGCAATCTTGTTTGCTTAGGGATTGAACTCTGACCTCCGACTTGGCAGACAACAATACGAGCTTCTATGCTATTGCGGCTCTTTCTAATTAACTACACACTGAAATCAAACCATTTACAGCAACAATTAAAAACAGCAGTGTTCTCAAATCGCTATCTCCAAGCCCTTCAGTGCCGAGCAAGTGTTATTTTAAATAATTTTAAATAGCTGGGGACCCTCGAGGCGATAGAAAACAGTATTTAAAAAAGTGTCTTTAATAACCTATGGTACTGAGGGGGGGGGGGGGGGGGGGGGTAGGACCCTTGCATATTTCTAGAGAAGGGGACCTCAAGTCATCTTTAAGTGCACAATAATACTAATGATGTGCTTAGTGACAAATAATAATACATTAAAAATAATACGAAATGTGTAAACTGCTTGAAATGATAATTATATTTATACATGGTTAGGGGAACCCCTTAGTTCCCTTTACCAATTTTTCTGGAATAAAACAGAAGAGAGGTAGCTCAGAGACTCACTCCTTTTAAATGACTGGGTAGCGTTCAGTGTGGGGGAGGGAAGTTGACAGGTCCCTCAAGTTGCCCGACGGTCAGGTTTCGGTCCATTGAGGAAGGTTGAAGAAAAGCCATTTTTGGGAGGTAAGATTATGCTAATTTTAACTTACTGCATGAACTCTGTAGCGCTGGTTCGAACACAATGTGTTTAAAAAATAATAAAATATTATATGTATATGTGTATATAGGAGTAACAAAAGCTATAACTATGTGCGCTTATAGAAGTTACAAATGCTGCAAGTCTTCTTCTTCTGCCTTTCTAGCCCCCAATGGAGCATAAGTCCTAAACCAAATCACGCTAAGTCGTTCTATCTTTTCTATCTTTTGCTATCGCATGCAGCTCCCCATGTCCTCCCCAACTTTCTAACTTCATTCTCCAGCTCCCTTCTCCATGTGTTTTTTTAGGCCTTCCTTTATTCCCATGTCCCTGTGGGTTCCACTGCAAAGACATTCTAGTGATATTGTTCTCCGGTTTTCTCAATGTGTGTCCCATCCAACGCCACGTATTTTCTTCACCTCTTGGTCCACTGGAGCGTTTAGTTCTTTCCCAAATCTCTACATTAGTTATGCTATCATACCATTTAATTCTCTCTA